TCCCTCTTGGAGATAGTAAATTAATAAGGCGTTTTGATCAGGTACTGTGAATTAAATTAAATGATTGGCTCTGAAACTAGAGGAATCATAATTACAGAAGGTAATAGGATAGCTAAATTTGCAAATCAAAGATTCTGCATTAACGGAGCTATTACGGTGAGGGAATTTCATAAATTGCAAAGCATGACTTACAGCATATCTATAAATGTGGGGTACTTGTTGTTTGTTACAAAATAAGAAAATATTAGGGATGAGCAGATGTCTATAAAATTGACACAAAATTAAATGACTAGGAATCTCAATGATTAGACAAATAGGAAATGTCAGCTTAATATCAGGACTATCAGTCTTATTTGTGAAATCCTAAAAATCCTAGGTGGAATTTATGCTATTCAAAGAAAGCTGGTAGAGAACAGTCTATTCTTACATTTCTCCTCACTTCATACTTTTGGAGACAACTTGAGTAGCTAACCACAGTACTTTAGACTCGTCACAACCTGTCCTTGCTATATCAGTAAGCATGCTTATAGGAAATCGCATCCAGTTCATAATACTTACTTATCTCACAAATAAGACACAATTTATTAAACACGAGCTTCATTATTGGATTACATCAATTCAGCGCATCATCCATAAATCAATTAGATAGTGTCCCACACATAAACACACTGATCATGAAAGTAATTTATTAAGCTTGTTTTCTGCATGAGGAATGATTCCTGCCTTGCATCCGATCCTCATGCACTCCATAACATTGTGACTACGCGACGCTCTTTTATTCATTCAGTTCAAATATACTACTCATACTGATCTAAATAAACTACAGAAACTAGGTCTCCTTTATCCGATCATGTTGGGTATCCGAAGTTCATAGAACGTAGAATGAAATCTGGAGTTAGATCATAAAATTGGTGAGCCAGGCGTGATCCAACTCCAGATCACGTTTAGCTGTGCCAGGAAGTACCGATACCCAGCCCTATTAGAAAAAGGAGGCCGTCACAAAGTAGCTTGTCTAGATCAGTATGAGTTACAAGTAACAATTGAGTGCATAAGATCACATCGCGTAGTAATAGTGCAATAGAGGAATGTGATCAGGAAAAAATCGAAGTATAATGAAGCAAACACCTGGTCAGGCAAAAAAGCTGCATATATCCCTCTTAGTATCACTCTATACAAACTTGGTGGATATGTGTGCATGTATGTATGCCAACGTCTAATTGACTCCTGGATGGTGGCCCGGTTTGGTATGATCAGTCATAGATACATATGTATGAGTAAGTGTACAGATAGATAGAGGTACATATTAGTAGGTATGTAAATATATAAGTATTTAATGAGTTGATAATACATTACGTATTATCAGATAATGGAATAATAAGTACTCACGGTTGTAATTGGACGTGAGACTGTTGTAAATCAGTAGCTGACTGAGGCGAGGGCCCAGAAGAGAAAGACCATTCGAGGCCAAGGGAGAGCAGACAAAGCACGAGCAAAGCAAGTCTATCTTGTTCTGCTCGCCCGTAAAGATGGGCGTTTAGAGGTCTCAGTTGCCCGGCGACGCGAGCTACTAATTCAAGCACGAGAGGAGCAGTGTCAAGAAGAAGAGCACGGCGCGAGACAAAACTGAATCGGCATGAAAAGCAGAGAATGGAATTTGTTAAATATGTAGGATGATGAGTTATGTGAAAGCTTTATGTTCGTGTGGAAGTAAACCTTTCCATTCATAGTTTGCGCCCTTCTCTATGTTGCGTTGTACTGATTCTCCTAGATAACCGTTTCCAAAAAGCAGTTGAGTTAGTTTTCCCGATTCCTCTTCCCAGAACTCAGAATTAGTCAGTCGTAAGCTTCTTATGATCATACTCCGGAGTATTCCAACATTCATCTCATAATTATGGTTAGACCGGAAATATGAGATATTCCAGCGTGCGATTTCTTTCGCAACTCTTTTCTTGAAAGACTCTTCGGAGCGAATAACCTTTACATACGAGAAAGTTAAGTGTCAGTTCTCTTCGACATCCATGGTAATTTGAATTTTTCATCCATTTTGTTTATGAAGAACAGGAAATCGTCTAATTTATCTCATCCATGCTACCAAATTGCGAATTTGTCATCCAAGTATCGCTTAATTATTGTTGCTTGCTGGGGTGACATTTTAAAATTCTCCTCAAAATTGTCCAAGAATACATTAGTCAACAGAGGTGAGAGTGATGAGCCTATAGACAGACAAAATATTTGCTCATTGATGCGGCCGTTGAATGTGAAATAGGTCATTCTTATTGTTAGGCTGAATAATCGAGTTAGTGACTCTACGCATTCGTTGTCCCGAGGATGTTATTTTCTTTTTCTATGATCTCCAGCAGTTCATTAAGTGCTTTTTCTCCTGTGAGGTTAGTGTAAATAAACTGTACATCAGAGCTCACCAAAAATTCGTTGCATTCCAACCTTACACATTTTATTCTTTGGCAAAATTCATATTATTCCTTCACTGTATCCACTGTTATTAATTTGAGGCAGATAAATTCCGCTAATTTATGTTGGTCCATGTTTGTTGCTGATTATCATTCTCAATGTTTCTCTTTCTTTGTGTACCTTCGGCAAACAGTATGCTACTGGTGCTCTTGTATCCTTTCCTATGAATGAGTCCATTGTCCATGTGTTGATTTTCCTGTTCATATGCATTTCCTTTAACATTTCTTGCAGTACTCCTTTGATTTCAGCTGTTGGGTCTTTTGTACATTGTAGTCCCCGAGAATATTTTCCATTTTCTCTGTTTATTTCTTACTGTCTATGACTACTATGACCCTTACATTGTCTGCTTGTATGATTATTTGATCATTTCTGTTCAAGCTTCTATATATCTTGGTTGTATTGTCCCTATTTGTGGGTCCCTGATACTCCAGGGGTATTGGGATGATTTCCCTTTCCAACTCTCTTTTTCATTGATTCGTTAACTTGATGCAAATAAATTTCGCCAGTTATGTGTTCTGTATTTGTTGTCAACAATCATTCTCAATGGTTCTCCTTCGATTAATTTTGGCAAACGGTTTGCTACCAGGGCTATTGCATACCTTCAGAGGAATGAAATCATTGTCCATTTGTCAATTTTTGCGATTGTATACATTTCCCTTAGTGTTTCTTCCAGTGCCTCTGATTTTTACTGTTGGTAGCTTGTTAACGATCGATAAGTTGTGTCCCCGCAAATATTTTCTATTTTTTCTGTATACTTCTTCCTCTCTATCAAAATGGTGATATCTCTTTTTTCGGCTTGTAGAACTAGTTAATAATTTCTTTTCAATTTTATACATATCTTGGTTATATTATTCCTATATGTAGGCTGTTGATGCGCCAAGATTTGTTGTATGATTTCCAGTTCCAGCTCTCTTTTTAATTCTTCAAGTAGTTGTAACACAGTGATGGCGATGAGGATTACGATGCCGGTGAAAAGTTTGGGAATACACCGATTCTGGAGATTACTAACACTAGATCAGAGGGCGCAGGACAATGTACGCTCCACAAGGTCTTTCTGACTCTCCGATCAAGTTGTGAAAACAAGGTCGAACCAAAACCATAAAGCAAAAGGAGACTGTGACCAATCAGAAGGTCACACCATTCTAGTCTTCCCATTTATCTGAATATAGTTTTCTTAGTCATAGTGTGGCGAGAGGATCGATGACAAATGTCTATGCATAAGACTTAAAATTACAAAAATATCCT